GGGCGGCGGCGGCGGCAGCGCTCTGGGGCCGGGCGGCGGCGGCGGAGGCGGTGGTGGTGGTGGCGGCGGCGGGCCGGGGCACGAGCAAGAGGAAGATTACCGCTATGAAGTGCTCACGGCCGAGCAGATTCTACAGCACATGGTGGAATGTATCCGGGAGGTCAACGAGGTCATCCAGGTGAGGGTGGCTGCTGCGCTGTCTTGACCCAGCCAGACGGGGGAGTGGGTTCGGACGGTCCGCGCGGCCCCGAGGGGCAGGCCTGGGCCTGGTGCGCAGCCCAGCCCGGTGTCTCCCGGCGCTGTCTTCACCGCTGCTTCTGTCGGCGATAGAGGGTGTTGAAAACAGCCGTTCGCGGGTTAGCCGGGTGTGGGGAGGTGCGCTGGGGGCGGTGCTTCCCAGGTCCTGCTATGGCGGAGGCCTCCGGCCGCCTAAGCCCTCTCTTGCGGGCAGTTGCTGCAGGTCCCTGGGCCCGGTGTCCTTCCTCTGGCCGGAGGAGCGCCTATAGGGGCGGGGCGGAGGGGGGGGATGGGGAAGAGGAGTCAGGAAGAATTGGGCACCACGAGGGTTACCCCAGCCTTCAGTCTGACTTGTACACATTTAGAAGGGATTAGGGTAGGCCGAAGAGCAGCATGGTGTACGGTTGCCTCAAGTGGGCACCAATTAATAAAGAAATGAATCTCCTCGGCAGTCTTCAGTGCCTACTTAAAGGTGGGGGAAGGGAACTATTTCTCGGAAGAGGTGCTGATGGCCCTTTTCTGATGGTGAGGCTTCTGCTTACATCTTTTTTTTTTTACGTCTTTGGTGTTTGTTTGGGACCTCTTATCCAGTGATAGCATATGACTTGCTTGGAGCTGTTGGAATAGTTACTGCAGATTGCATACCCATTCTTGCAGTTAAAAACAAAACGCAGTGTTGTCTAATATTGGACAAAACTCTATTGTGAATTAGAAAGCAGAGGCTTTCTGCTTCTGAACGCCTTTCTCTGATAAGTTGTATTTCGTGGTCAGGAAGTTAGGCTTGGTTTAAGTTGATAACCACATCTCATTTAACCTGCTTCAGATTTTGTATTTTTGAAATTTAGGAAATCAGAAATTTCTATTTGTTTGGGGGAAAAAACAGTTGTCATGAGGGTACAGGGATATGGTTGAAGAATAAAAGTGAAGTCTTGATCAGTACAACTTTTAGAAAGCATTAGTTACCTTGTATACATAAGTAGCAAGTTTATTATTGAGTCATTCCTTTTTTTTCTTTCACTTAAACTGGTTACTTAAAAATTCATTGACAAATTAGCAGTATGTCATTGCCTACTTGTTGACTTTTCATTATTAACAGATTTTTATAGTATTGTCTAAAAAGCAACAGTTTTGAAAATTGAACCATCTAGGCACTATTTGAAGACTGTTTTGAATAACAGGAAAAATCTCTGATATCTAGTGCTGTTACTAAACAGTAGAAATCTCAAACTTTAAAAGGGATAACGCAGTCTAATAAGGAAATTAAAGGGTTGTAGAAGTAAGATACGTTTTACTGCTCTTTCTCTGATCCTAAAAATACTACAGTTGAGTTCTTAGGCCACTAAATTGAGAAATTTTCTTTTCTTCTTTCTTTTTTATTTTGAGGGAACTTTGTTAAAGAATTTGCAGTAAAACTTTGAAGTCTCTTCATTTATCTACACCTATATAAAATCTGATGGTGTCAAATTTATTACCTAGTTTACTGGGATTTTTAATTAGCCTGTTTAAAAATCTCATGGGTATTTATTATTTAGCTTTTTGACTTATAGTTTGTTTCACTATAGTTAAATCTCCTCCGACTTTCTCAGCTCTTAGGTGTGTCTTAATCACTGAGGCTAAAAACAAGTTCTTTATGTTCTTCTGGAACAGAAATGTAGCTAATGCATATGACATCATTCTTCCTTTGTTATTTTAGGTGAGAGAATAAATGCTGATGAAATAAACTAATAAAGCCTACAAAAAAACTAGGGATTATTTTAGGTGTCCTACTTTTACAATGTGTCCATTTGTGAAAAACCCACTTTTTCCCCAGTCTACTTCATTGTAAAGATGCTCCTAAATAGAATTCCGGAACATTTAAGTATCCCTTGTTAAGAGTTCATATTTAGAAATACCAGTAAAATCAAAGGGTAGAATATATCCCATCTTTTCTCCAGATGGTATACTTACTAGGTCTAAACTAGGTTTTTGTTACGTTGCATGTTATTTATCCTAATAGACATAGCCTTGAAAAGTTACACAAGTAATTCATGCACATTGCAAGAAAAATCTGATTAGGCAAGAAAAAAGACAAAATAAGCCTGCCCCCCAGAGAGATACACCAAAATGTGAACTGTTGTTATCTTAACAAACCTCAGTATAACTATACATATTTTTTAATAACAGTGGAATCATGTTCCACTGATTTATGTTCCACAGTGGAATATGTTCTCTTTCTGCTTTCAGTGGGAAAAAAGCAGGTTACAAAAACAAGGAATCTGTGAACAACTTCCTCCTGCCAATAAGTAACAATTGTATTTTTTAAGAGCTTTACATGATCACAGGTCTAAACTAAAAGGTCTTCCTTTTTATTTTCTAGTTTCTGGCTTTTATAAACATCATTGAGAATATTCCCATAAGTCAGTCTTTGAGTGTTTTCTTATTTTCTTGGGATTAGTTGAATTGCTGAGTCAAAGAATTTGCTCATTTTCAAGGCATTTGATTCATACTACCATTTCAGAAAAGTTTTACTGGTTTTCCCCACCATATTGGTGCCTGATTGGCATAAAATGGTCATTTGAAAAAAAATTTTTTTTAAACTGATGAGGTTGAATTTACATCTTTATTTGGCTTGGTAGTTTTGTAAATTGCCCTTTGCTTTTTGCTCATTTTACCCTCTTTTGGCATATTTATCTCTTATTGGCTTATAAGACCTCTTTATATTAAAAGAGGTTTTAAATATCAATTGTCGAGGTTTTTTTCAGTTAAAAACCCCACTAATGTTTGTTTAAATGTCAACAGGTTTTAGCAAGTTAAAAAAAATTATAGTTTACTTCACACTGGAGAGCTTATTGTTAACTAAAAAATTTTAATACCCTGCTCCCTGATGCTACCTTTTAAGGTATGTTGTTATTGAATTTGAAAATACATTCGCAGGAGAAAAAGTTTAAAATGTAAGAAGATCATCAAGTTAATTTAATCTTTTTTGTCAAGTTAATTTAATACTTTTTCTGGGAGAAGAATTCTGGGCAATAAGACACTGTTATTTGCAGATATCTGCAGGTTAGTTCTGGTTTTCAAATAAGTCAACACTTTTTTTCTTTTAGAAAACTCTTTGTTTTCTGGCTTTCTTTAACTCCTCCCTAGTTAGTTTAATCTGGTCTTGTTTTATTTAAATCTTTTGTTGGTACCTAGCTTACCTTTTAAACTTTTAAGAAAAAAATCAGGGACTTTCTTTAACCTATACTAATGACAAAGTGCTTAAAGCCTTTAACTTGACGAACTGTATTTAACTAGTATAGCTAATATTAACAGGTGCATTTCTAAGGTAACTGCGTAAATAGCTAGGTCTTTTATTAAATCCTACACAGTTGTGCAATTGGAGGATGTTTAAACTTGCCGTTTTGTATTTCCACAACAATGTTCAGCAAATGTTGATTGTGCATTCTTTGTATGCCAAACACTGTTGTAAGTTAGAGGATGTGGTTTTTGCTGAAGAAGCATGTAGAGGTGGGAAACATAGAGGTCTTTGGGCTCCACTTCCAGAGATTCTCAGTTATTAGATTAGTTAAGTCTGAGGTGGAGCCTGAGCATCTTTATATTTTAGCTACACCAGTGATAGTTCTGAACCATTGGAATCATTGGCATGATTCTGACTCAGGGAGTGAGTAGAGTGAAAAGAGCAGCAGCCCTTAGGGATACCACATTTAAAGGGTGTGCTGAGGAAGAGGGACCTGGGACCTTTGGATGTGAATGGTCAGAGAGGAGTTATAAAGAGAAGTGGTAAGGGTTTTGCTTTTATAAGATTGATTATGCTAAATACCCCATTTTAAAGACTGAAGAAATCTAATACTGAAGAAATTTTCTATTGGCTTTTGATTTGAAATCTTTAATTTTATTTCATGTATTTGTTAATTAAAAGATTTCAGAACTTCTTTTTTTTTTTTTTTTTAAGATGACTAGTAAGGGGATCTTAACCCTTGACTTGGTGTTGTCAGCACCATGCTCTCCCAATTGAGCTAACCAGCTATCCCTGTATAGGGTTCTGAACCTGTGGCCTTGGTGTTATCAGCACCACACTCTCCCAAGTGAGCTGCAGGCCCACCCTTTGGGCTTTTTAAATCTGGGAGTGAATTCTAGAGTTGAACTACCAGATTGGTCTTTTTTACATTAATTG